TTGGATTACTTCCAATAGTCGGACACTTCCAGTAATCGAACTTAATGGTCTAAGACATGTCCGATTAGCGAGCACCTACTGTATACAGGGAGTCTCATAATTAGCTGCCAACCCTGAACAGGCCGATTCTATGATTCTAAGTAAAAAAGTTCATATGATCATGGGTCCGGAAATGCTTCCTAAGGGCACAGGGACCCATTGAAGAGGGAAGAATGGAAATCATTTTTTTGCAATCTCTCAATCGCGTTGTGATAAATGAATGAAATATGGTATACACAGTTAAAGTTTGATGAGCAATTTGATGGACTAATCCGTTTATTTCCATAAGGTCCATTGGGGTGGGTACGGGGGGGCCCTTGGTACTTTGCGTGTGTAACTTTTTCATCTTTGACTTTTTAACAAATTGGACAGCAAATTCCGTTTTCCCGAACTGTTTTACGTTAAAAAGGTACTCTTGTTTCAAATCGTTATCTTTAACGGTTTCTGAGAAAATCGCTCTTGAATTAATCCCACTTTGGTCAATTTCATAGTAATTTAAACAAAATTATCAAGGTATTCTTATGTCAAAGTATTGTCAACCCGATTGCCAATTTAATAGTTCTAAGCGAAAAAAATGGAAGAGTTTACGGGACAAGAGTTAGTTGATATGATATTTATTTATGGCTTTTGCGATGGTAATGCTGCAGCGGCAGAACGCGAGTACGGGAGAAGGTTTCCAAACCGAAGGCTGCCATCAAGGAGGACATTCCCTACGGTATTCCGCAACTTAGCTGCAACCGCCACTTTTCGAAAGGCACCGGGTCAAGGACGTCCCAGGATTAATAGGGAAGCGGAGGTCCTTGACGCTATTGAACAAGATCCTACGACTAGCATACGGAACATTTCAAGGCAAATAAATGTTCCTCGGCCAACGGTACTACATATCTTAAAGATTTCCTTAACAGAATTGATTAGATGTGCTACTAACATTTCAGGTTGGAAGAATATTAAAGCGACAAGGTCTACATGCCTATCACTATCGACGTGTACATGGCTTGATACCAGAAGATTTTGCGCCACGTATGCAATTTTGTCGCTGGATTTTGTCGCTGGACAACGAGCAAGCTTCCAAAATTTTGTGGTGTGACGAAGCTACTTTTACCCGAAATGGAAAATTAAATTTTCATAATTCTCATTATTGGGAAGAAGAGAACCCACATGTTGTTCGGAGAACAAACTTCCAGCAACGGTTTTCCATAAATTTATGGGCGGGAATAATTCACGACACTCTGATTGGACCTATTGAAATTCCACAACGTCTCAATTCAAATCTTTATTTAAACTTACTTCAAGAAAATCTTCCCCAAATTCTCGATGATCTGCCTCTAAATTTACGACGTAACATGTTTTTTCAACACGATGGAGCCCCGGCACATAGTGGTCGCAATGTTCTAAATTTCCTAAACGAAAATTTCGCTGGACGGTGGATAGGGAGGCACGGACCGGTAGCTTGGCCGCCGCGTTCTCCCGACCTAACCCCGCTGGACTTCTTTTTCTGGGGATATCTAAATCAAAAAGTTTACGCCACCGAAGTCGATACCCGTGAGGAATTGCTGCAGCGTATCAATGATGCAGCCAATGAAATTCGTCAAAACCGTTTTAGCATCTTAATAGCTTCGAGAAGTGTTACACGTAGGGCAAGACTTTGTATCAGAGAAGGTGGAGGGTTTTTTGAACAGTTTTTAAAATAGCTTGTTGTCTGTTATCAAAATTAAGTTTCCATCTTATGATCCCTTCGAAAAGTGACGGTTGCAGCTAAATTGCGGAATACAGTGAGGAATGTCCTCCTTGATGTCAGCCTTCTGTTTGGAAACCTTCTGCCGTACTCGCGTTCTGCCGCGCAGCATTACCATCGCAAAAGCCATAAACAAATCATCATATCATAATTGTTCTACATCAATAATGTGTATTACTGATTACGTATTAAATTATTATTATTATTTTTTGTTTAAATTACTATGAAATTGACCAAAGTGGGATTAATTCAAGAGCGATTTTCTCAGAAACCGTTAAAGATAACGATTTGAAACAAGAGTACCTTTTTAACGTAAAACAGTTCGGGAAAACGGAATTTGCTGTCCAATTTGTTAAAAAGTCAAAGATGAAAAAGTTACACACGCAAAGTACCAAGGGCCCCCCCGTACCCACCCCAATGGACCTTGTGGAAATAAATGGATTAGTCCATCAAATTGCTCATCAAAATTTAGCTGTGTATACCAAATTTCATTCATTTATCACAACGCGATTGAGAGATATTGCAAAAAAATGATTTCCATTCCTCCCTCTTCAATGGGTCCCTGTGCCCTTAGGAAGCATTTCCGGACCCATGTTCATATGAACTTTTTTACTTAGTTTTGATCATAGAATCGGCCTGTTCAGGGTTGGCAGCTAATTATGAGACACCCTGTATAAGGGTGCTCCAAAATTAATGCAACAAAATTTGTTCGTAGATTTTTAAAACAAATTTAGGGCCCGTATTTTTTATTTTTGCCAAGTAGCCCCCTCTTTCCCCTTGAAAGCGGCCCCTAAACGGAGCTATTTGGAACCAAAAAAAATTTGGTCGCATATTTGAATTTCTTAAAAATTATTAGTTCCCTAGAAAGCCATTGAATTTAGGAACTTTTTTGTCTCCTGATATTTTTCTCGTAAAACGCAATGTTTTTGAGAATAACGGCGAATCACGATTTGCATTCGATCACAGTTTTCAAGTATTCAACATACAACATGTTTACAAGACCACCCCTGCGTCCTGCCCAATTTTTGTCACATAATGTGCAGTAACTCGTTAAGGATTAGATATACAAAAAAATTGTATAAGGAAAAGATGTTCCAAATTTGATCCTCTACAACTTTTATTAGTCATTTCGCTTTAAAAAAATGTTTAGGAAACCACGCTCATAGCGCAAGTTGTACCAGGAGTTCAAGTGTGATCTTTGTTGGATATTCAGGAGGCAGTTCCCAAGCAACCCTGAAAAAATCATCCTGTTTGGAATTTTTTTTATAAAATAACATCTTTATTGGAATATTCGTGCACTGGGCGACATATCGTATAAACTGTTTAAAGGCAGGCGATGGGTGATGGCGATGCTCACAGACTTCTAAGTATATATTAGAAGTCTGTGGCGATGATGCTTCAATTTCCCCGTCACTCGTTCCCTCATGCCGCAGTTTACTAACATGTTGACTGCCTCGTTGCCATGACAACTGCTGTAAACAACTATACGAAGTGAAACAATATACAAAATGATTTCGATGCACGTCACTTGCATATACTATACGTTGTATGGTACGAGGTTGATGTTCACGCTCAAAAAAGGCAATATTTTTTTAGAAGGCGTTCACTGCTCAACTATGCTGTTTATTTCTGTGTATAAAACAAACAAACACAATACATTTCCAATTAGACAAGGCAAAAACCTCGCATTCGTGGGAGAAATTTTCCGACTCGATTTTTTTGCATATTCAGATTCGTGAGATGTTCCTTAACATGAATCAAGATGATGCCCGCTGGAAATCTGGTGCCCATTTGTTTAAACAAACTTTTTTTAAACAAATTGTAAAAATTGGTTTTTTCGTTCCCGGAAAATTTTTTTTTTTAGGTTTTTTGGCACATTATAAACAAAAAAGTTCCTATGCACTATGCCTCTAAAATTTATAGTTTTAAAGTTATAAACAATTTAAGTTGCTAAAAATGTGAAAATGACGATTTTCAACAGCCGATTTTCGGATTAAAAATTGTTATTTTTGATGTTGATGTACCTAAATTAAAGTTTAAATATTCCCCTACAAGATACTGAAGAGTTTTTGGGACTCGTATTATTCTAAAGCCTTATTTTTTAATTGTCAATAAAGCGCTATGAGCCGCGAGCGCGTCCCTCTCATTTATTAACAATAGAATTATACCTAAGTTATAAAATTTATATAAAATTAAAAATAATTTTAAATTGCACAACCAAACGGAAATTTTAGGTGAAGCAGTGCGTCACTTGTATCACCTGGCGAGTTGCCAATGCCTTGGATATTTTCACAGCATACTATTTGTATGTGGTTTACCTGGCAATGACCAATAACATTTTTATTATTTTCCAGTTTTTGATGCAACAATATGGTATAACAATAAAGCCGACGAATATCTAAGAATTTTGTTACGCTTGTAGGCTGATTATCATTCTTATATTACAAGAACTTAACAAATGAATAAGTAAATTCTAATGCTAATCATTTTTAGTGAGCAACACATAAATATTAAAATAACCCATTATTAAAACCAGGCTATATTTATTCAGCAATATCAAAATTATTGGATCCTTTGTTACAGTATCTCTGCCACTAGTTGACTAAGACAAAAAAAGTAATAATTGAAAATGATCTGTTTTGTGAATAAAATGAAAGAAATCTTTTTTCTTGAAAACACCACTAGGAATTAACAAGCAGTGATCGAATTTTAGCAAATATTAGCAGCATAAAATTTCTGGGGTTTTTAGTAGTGACTGCTGATATCTCCACTACTTACATTCGGAATTCATATTCAGTGAATATCGCTAGATAAATTATGAGATCAAATTTCATCCACCTGCAACTTCAGAGGTATTTTACAAAAAGTGATTTTTATTTTTCCATTTCAATGTATTTAATTAAAATGTTATTTGTTTTAAATTCTCGGGGCAGGCTCAACTTTTAAAATATCTAGGTAAAATAAAATTTCATTCAATTTGGTTTGTTCTAAATTTTTTAGATATAAAAAACTCCAGGGAGAAAAATGTTTTCTATGAATACAAATTTTAATCACTGTCAAAGTTTGGAGCAGATAATACAAAAGTGAAAAAAATATTTTAACTTCAGACATTCCATCAGAGACTGTAGAAATGATAAATTAAAAACATCAAGGGATCAAAGTGCCTAATTACACAACACATATATGCAAGCCCACAAAAATAATATAGTCAATTCTCAAATATTACCTCTAACAGAAGACTTCTCAACGACTCCACATTATCTTGTTCATGTTCAAATACACTTTCCTGATTTGTTGTTGGACTTGCAGGGCCATCACTAACACTTGTATTAGCAGATCCTGTATATAAAATGCATATTTTTTTATTTAAATTTTAATGATTTTTTAATTTTGAATTTGTTTTTTCCTTTTTCTGTTTTAAAACTTAGACAAGGTGAAAACCTCGCATTCGTGGGAGAAATTTTGCGACTCAATTTTTTTGCATATTCAGATTCGTGAGATGTTCCTTAACATGAATCAAGATGATGCCGGCCGGAAATCTGGTGCCTATTTGTTTAAAGAAACTTTTTTTAAACAAATTGTAAAAATTGGTTTTTTCACACCGAAATTTTTTTTTTAGGTTTTTTGGCATATTATAAATAAAAAAGTCCCTATGCACTATGCCTCTAAAATTGATAGTTTTAAAGTTATAAACAATTTAAGTTGCTAAAAATGCGAAAATGACGATTTTCAACAGCCGATTTCCGGGTTAAAAATTGTTATTTTTGATGTTGCCAGGTGCCTAAATTAAAGTTTAAACATCCCCCTACAAGATGCTGAAGAGTTTTTGGACCTTTCATTATTTTAAAGCCTTGTTTTTTAATTGTGAATAATGTGCTATAAGCTTCTTTACAAACGTACATATGGACAAGTTCCATTTTTCCTCAATATCAATATTTGGATTTCACAGCTTTTGGTTATCAAAATGAAACAGGTGAATTATTATCTAAATTTATTACCAAAGATCCATTACCCAAAGACTTAGTAAAACAATGTAAATGTATAGAAAAAACTGTAAGACTACAGCTTGTTCTTGTAGGAAAAACTATGTCACTTGTGTACCTTTATGTGGTTGTAACATAAAACAGTATGAGAATTCTTACGATTGAATAAATGTGTGATAATAATAATATGCAGTATTAAATAAATGTTCTTTAATAAAATCAAACGTATTTGATACTACATATTGCCCTTTTATTTTTTTTCTGCACTCTATTCGTACAACTTTGAATTAATTAAATGAAATTATTATGAATTATGAAATTTAAATAATCAATTTTTATATTATTTAATGAGTAGTAATAGTACTTAGAATGTACTTAGTACTTAAATTCAAAGAACATAAGCTGAAGCCGCTAGACGAAATAGCGAATCCGCTTATGAGAGAGGCGCGCGCGCGGCTCATAGCGCTTTATTAACAATTTAAAAAACAAGGCTTTAGAATAATGCGAGTGCCAAAAACTCTTCAGCATCTTATAGGGGGATGTTTAAACTTTAATTTAGGTACGTGGCAACATCAAAAATAACAATTTTTAACCCGAAAATCGGCCGTTAAAAATCGTCATTTTCGCATTTTTAGCAACTTAAATTGTTTATAACTTTAAAACTATCAATTTTAGAGGCATAGTGCGAAAAAACCTAAAAAAAAATTTTCCAGAGTGAAGAAACCAATGTTTACAATTTGTTTAAAAAAAGTTTGTTTAAACAAATGGGCACCAGATTTCCGGCCGGCATCATCTTGATTCGTGTTAAGGAACATCTCACGAATCTGAATATGCAAAAAAATCGAGTGGGAAAATTTCTCCCACGAATGCGAGGTTCTCTCCTTGTCTAACTAGTTTTAAAAGATTTGTTTTACTGTATCCACTTGAGAAAACTACAGTTCAAATATATGAAAGTTGACATTTTAAGTAATAGCAGATTGACTCCCCTGTCCCACCACTTCTCTCCCTGCAAAGGCCTCAAGGACAAAGGCAGAGGCATTACAATTTTTAAAAGAATTATCAAAAACATATTTTTCGTGTCATAACATAAAAATATATCAAATTAAATTAAAATATACTACATATCGCCGCGTTACTATGAAAACAATTTATCTCAAATTTAGCTTGGAAAACATTCTAGCTCAGATCTTTAAGAAAAAACATGGTATCTCACACAAAATTAAGTTTGACTAGAAATTTAAATTGACTGCATTGGCGTTGAAATGCACATTGAATGATTGAAACCGTGCATTTACAATAAATTTATATAATATATTTTTCAAAAAGTAAGGAATATTTATGTTCAGGTACACTGTTTATTTTATTTTTTTCATTCAACATTTTTCAATTACTTTTGTTAACTTACTGTTATAAATGACAAAATTATTTAGGCCAGAAAAATAAATGACCATTTCGCGGCTTTTGTTTCGGCAAGTTGAATTTATACAGGGTGGTCCGAATTTTATGCAGCAAACTTCGAGGGCAGATAGATTTTTTTAAAATAGTAGGTGTTTGCCTTATAAACATAGGTCTGGAACGGCCTCGTTTTAGAGATACAGGGTGTTGAAGTTGTTAAAAAAAATATATTTTTTGTTTATATCTCCGGAATCCATCGACCGATTTCAATAAAATTTAGTACAGTTAATGTATGATAGTAGGCCTTGTATTCCCTGAAATATGAGCTCTATAGATTCAACCAGTGGTGTACAACTGAACAGGGTCACCCCCTTTTTTTATAAAAAAAATCTACGCCACTGTATTTTTTACTAGTTATTGTAACGGATTTATATTCTAATGCACTAAATACGTAAAAAAGGTAACTTGAAATTTTTCCCTAAGATTCACCGTTCTCAAGTTATTCATACAAATACAAACCCCTTGTGGCAGACACTTCAAACCATAATATTACAAGAATATTTATGTTTATGCTTAAAAGTAAGTGCAATTTGTAAGCACATCAACAAAATTCTTTACACTCATCGCTTTCATCTTTTTGGATTAAAACAATATTTGGAAAATCACGACAAAGGAATGAAAGGCACAGAAATGAAATTTTAAAAGTATTTGACGACGATCCTCGGCTAAGTACACGAAGAACGTCTCGGCAACTTGGGGTGAGTAAATTGAAAATTTGAAAAGTTCTACGTAAGGATGGCAGAAATCCGTACCATTTACAACCTGTGCAAAATTTACTTCCGGGAGATGCAGAGAGACGCCTGAATTTTTATCAGTGGTTGTTTGAATTCTTACTAGAAATACTTTGGACCGATGAGGCTACGTTCACAAGGCGAGGGGTAGTGAATTTTCACAATCTGGATATTTGGTCACAAGAAAATCCTCATGAAATTCGGAGTCATTTCTAAACTTTCTAGAAAACCATCTATTTGAATTATTAGAGGATGTTCCATTAAATATACGACAAAATAGCTGGATACAAATGGATGGTGCTCCTGCGCATTTTAGGAGAATAATACAAGAATGGCTTAATGAAAATTATATGAGATGATGGATAGGTAGAAGACCAAATGCCAATGTCAACCATAATGGTGCAGAGGGTCCAGTGTCTTGGCCAGCCAGATCGCCAGATCTAAACTCCCTGGACTTCTATGTTTGGGGTGACCTACCTGAAAAGTTTACTCTACTCCAATAGATACTAGACCACAACTACTGCAGCGAATAGACGACGGGTATAATGAATTAAAAGAAAACCACCACATGATATTAGCTTCAATTAGTTCCATTAATAGAAGATGTCAGAAATGTATTGATGTGGGTGGTTCGCATTTTAAACAATTGCTGTAAATACGTAACGTTAATTTTGTTTCTTGTTTAGTTGTTGTTGCTTGGTAAATGTATTTTTATTATTATTTTAATTTAAATTGTTCTTATTTGTAAAGATAATGCCTCCAGGGAAAACTAAAACACACCAGGAACACTACCTCACAAGTGATGTGGACAGAATTTTGTTAATGTGCACAGAATTTTGTTGATGTGCTTACAAATTACACTTACTTTTAAGCATAAACATAAATATTTTTGTAATATGATTTAAAGTTTAAAGTGTCTGCCACAAGGGGATTGTATTTGTATGAATAACTTGAAAATGGTGAACATTAGGGAAAAAATTCAGGTTACCTTTTTTACGTATTTAGTACATTAGAATATAAATCCGTTACAATAACTTGTAAAAATACAGTGGCGTAGGTTTTTTTTTATAAAAAGGGGGTGACCCCTGTCCAGTTGTACACCACTGGTTAAACCTTTAGAGCTTATATTTTAGGGAATACAAAGCCTACTATCGTACATTATTTGTACCAAATTTTATTGAGATCGGTTAATAGATTCCTGAGATAAAACAAAAAAATATATTTTTTTAACAACTTCAACACCTTGTATCTCTAAAACGAGGCCGTTCCAGACCTATATTTATAAGGCAAACTCCTATTATTTTAAAAAGATCTATCTGTCCTCGAAGTTTCCTGCATAAAATTCGGACCACCCTGTATA